GATCTGTTTCCTCCGCTTCGGTCTAATGAATCCGATCTACTACCTTCAGACGCTACTGGTGATCCGGCAATGTCGAGTGTATCAATTGTTAGAGCATCATTTTCCTCGATCAGTTGGTAGACGCTGCCATGAGAAGAAGGCAAGCGATTGTTCAGTTCTTCCATTCGCTCTTTCAGCGCCTGACATCGTCCTTGTAGACGCACAATGCCAGCCGGGTGGTCGACAGGCTGTGGCTTTCTTCGATACTTCTTTTCAAAGTGAGCTTTCCATTCCCGGATTTGCTGTAAATATTGTCGCGTCATGATCTGACACTTGGTCAGCTCCTGGTTTGTTAGAATTCCGACAATATACCGCTGCTCAGGCGTTGTTTCTGATACTTGGTTGTATGTTGGATTAACTGTCGAGAAGTAAGGATGCGCCAATAGTTCCTTGAGTGGCTTGAGTGCTAGCACGGCGCTTAAAAACTGGTGCTCTAAGCAGTCTGTAGCAACTTTGCTCAGTAGATTGCTCTTTTCCATCAGACTCCCATGAACCCGAAGCCCAGTGAGCAATTCTACCATCACGTATGCTACGCTTCGCACATCTTGAGTAAATTCATCGTTCGTGACTTGCAAACTAAAACTGGAGCGACGGAATTGCAGATCTGGTAAAATCCTGAACGACACGGACATAAGTAAAGGTAAAATCCCGTGCAACGTATTGAACGTACTCTTGAGATTGAAGTGCATTTATTGCTAGGGTAGATGGAAACCATGCAGCAATTTTAGTAATATTTCCTCCACAAAGAAGCACTGAGGACAGCGAAAGCTAGCATGATGTTGAGAGATGATAATTATGTTAGGAAAATACGATCAGATCAGTACTACATGTAGTGCACTTACGCCACCACATGAAATTCCTGCCTGCGCAAGATAACCCGATAATTATTTGTGAATTGACATTTTAGATAACTTTTCCCCATACCTCGTGTAGCTCATGGAGGCCACGCACAAGTTGGTAGATATATTGTTTGACTGCTAAGGGATGTAGGTGCTCGAAATCCTTGTGAAGACTGTCAACAGTTAGAAGCAAACAGCATTTTCAAGCCAGTATCGTACCTAGCAAGACTGCCGACAACAGAAGAAGTTGAGCAAAGGTATACCCTCGATTGATTGCAGACAACGGAGTCGTAGTAGAATACATGTCGCCCTTTATCCCCATTGCTGATTGCACTGCTGCGTTCGAGCTCAGCTTGCAACACTCGCTGGACGATTTCTGCAGGTGTACTGCCTTCTTTCAATTCAGCCGTAGTATCCACCAAATTAATACATTCTACTGCTACCATTCGGCCACTTGACGTGACACACAAAAGGAAAACCTTATCAGAGCGCTAGCAACCGAATGCAGCACCTGTCGCTCTTACCTACGTTCTTCTGTCTAGAGCCTTGTAGATGCCTCCAAGTCGCCCAAATGCAATTGTTTCTGCCGTCACTGGGAGCTTAAAAGCCCCGGCTTCATGAGCATCGTGTCCGCTATCGTCGTTCTGCATTTTATTGCGACCGATCGCCTTGAACAGTCGCTGTCACTCAATATCAGCCTGGCAAAGCAACGTCATGCCGAAGCCACATCGACATTAGACGGATCTACGTCGGTGTTGCCTGTTGCCAAAACCATAATGCAAGTGACCACAAGAAAATGCCAATGTTCTGCGCTGGGCCAACGAGGCTGGGCCTGTTCCCCACCTGTTCGCTTCAACTTGTTCGTGCTTCAGCTTTTCAGTTAGCACATGACTACAATTGTGGCTTTGAAAATGCGCAAACAGATCCCATTTCCACCGCATCTTGGTTTCACTATGCGAACAAGCTGGTGAGTGCTTGTCACAAGGTCTTTTCGAAACTTCACGTGGGGCGGAAAAACGCAAGTCGAGTTGCAGTGAAGTGGAGGCACCACAACCCAACAGGAGACTTTGGCAGCAGCGCCGGAACGACGAAGAGCAAGAGATACTGAGACGTCCGCCATGCTAACCAAGCCCGTGCGAGTGTTGAGCGAGCGCATCATGAGCCGCGGCTTCGAGCCCACTGTCGTCCGTCTCATGGAGAACGTAAGATCCGCGATCGAAAGTTTTATTCTGTTGTGACGTACTGACG